GGTTCCAGCCCCCGTCGCAGGAAACGAAGGCTTCTCACGAGCCGACTCTGCCCAAACACCTCGATTTCAATTTCTTATCATGGTTTACGTAACTCGTAGTAAAGACGGTACGCGAGCGCAACGCCAACACCGAGCTCAGGACTGCGTCCTATGACCGGCCGCCTTGCCAGCGCCGTATTTTGCAAGCGAACGAGCTCGGCAGCGGTGGCTCCATTATCACGGGCAACAAGAGGAATACCACCCCCGGACGAAGCCGGCGCCCAGAAAAAAAAAAGAGAGAAAAAAAACATTGCATGTGATTATGACGACGGTGCTCAGATGAAAATTGGCAAGCGGCGTGACCACGTCGTGACCGCTCCTGAGGCGCGCATGTGTCACGGACTCGCGGGAATAGAGGACGCGATTTCGCGTAACTCCGGGGGTCGCTGGCGCTACACAAGTTCAAGTCGACGCAACCCTGATGAGCTGTCTGGACTCTAGGGGGAAGCGCCCAACTCGAAGCACGCCATTTGCAGATTCTAGATTTTCAGACATGTAGTGAAGCAACGCACTTGTCCATGTCCATGGACGCACGCACATCGAGGCACCAGAGGCAGCGATATACCACTTGTCCCGGTTGGTGTTGGTGATTCTGGGCGCCTCGGGCCCGGCCAGCGAAAAAGCGCGGCATGGGTATCCCGGCCGGCGTGGCGGACGAAGGTCTGAAGTTCTGAACCGAAGGGGTGCCCGTTCTGGGCGTAGTACGGTTGTGCAAGTTGGGCGGGGTGGCCGTCTTGTCCGCTGGTCGGGATATCCTGGCCATCCCAGCGTCCGCCGGGTGTTGAACACGTCAGCGTGCGGCTTTGTCGTGCTCGGTTGGATGGGAGGGCCGGCTCGGTGGTTGTGAGTCGTGGCCGGGGCGCCGGCAGGGGGAGGGAGAAGTCGATTCTCCAACCTTATCGTCCTGCCACAGCGCCGTTTCAGGCGTCTTGGGTGTGCGCCGGGCGGTTTCTGGGGCACGTGGCCCCCCCGCGGCGATGGGTTCCTGGAGGCGAGATTGTCGGGGGGGGGAGATGCGAAGGGAGCGGGCTGCTCGCTTTGCCCGTTGGATGGATGGGGGGGAGCTGTTGAGATTGTGCGGGTGGCCTTGACGTGTGTCTGTGGTGGTGCTTGTCGAGATGGAGTTGATGGCAGACGCTGTGGCTGCTTCTGGTGCAAAGCTGGGCGACGTTGGTGTGTCTCTCTGGTTGTCAAATTTTACTGTTGTCGTGTATATCGTGTAAGCCGGCTTCACACGATGGCTCTCCCAAGTAAGAGATTGGTAGAGCTAGTGTCGACGAGTGGGTTTAACAATATTAACTCGGGCAGAGAAATGCTGGCTTTGGGCCGTAAACCTTGGCGTAATTTCCTGGCATAATAGGATAATATATGCCATGGTTGTCAGGTCCATGCCCGTAATACGCCAGTTACACGCCATTTATTGATGCAAGGCGCTTTCTAATAGGTCAAGCTTCTCATGATACAGCCAACATCTTGAAAACTTTCAATTCATGACAAGACAAATGTTGCAAGAGTCCGTGACGAGTGGTGTTTTCTTGTGGCCATCTGCCCGGGGGTTAGGACAGAGTCGGCATTTGGATATCAAGGGCAGAGAACCATAGTTGGGCAAGAATTTTCTCCCTGCTTTCTCTTCCCGTCGAGTTGGGAAACACATGCAGCTCTGACATTTGCAAAACTGGCCATGGTTGGAAAGGCAGGTCAGGTTGTCATTGTAGGGCAGCAGGTCTAGGATTAGAGCCACGGGGGTGAAATATCCCAATCAAGTTCTCCTGCTGCAGGCATAAAAAGAATTCACCGCGTAGAGGACAAGACTGGGTGTAATTACGTGGTTTCTCTCCGTGATAATCTAGCGTGTCGTCCAGAGACCCCTGTGACATGTCCCTTTGCAATCCCGTACAACGTGGTTGAACCGACATGATTATGAAGTGAATGGCCGGTTATTCAAAACCTGGAAACCGCATGCTAGATATAAACCCTTCGTCAAGCCATCCACGTACTTTGAGAGTCTGGCCGAGGTAATTCATCCGCAATTTGTAGCCGCCTGCAAGCATCATAGTGTTGAGACCATTAAGCCATAAGGCAAAAATTGTAGACGCCTAGATTATTACCATGCCAGCTGTAATTATCCTATTCAACTCAACACATAGTATCATCGGTCAATGCGCCACATCCAAGATGGACAATCTTTCCCGGATGGCTTACATTATGGCATGTGGTATCTACTCTACTCGTCGAGGCCAAGTTCAAGTTTAACCTTGTTGCATGAGCTCTATCATCTTATTTTACCTTGAATATAAGAGAAGTTCGCCAAAGTCTACCAGCGCTCTTTTCCGACATGTTATTTTATTCTTAGCTATAGGCATCTTTGTGAGGTGAATATCTTGAACAACTTTGGAACGGATAATACCATGGGACTTGTTGACTACTGCGTCGACAATTCTTCTATTCGGCTTTGCCTTATAGGAGCCTGAGAATATGAGAATATCATTGGCTATATAGATTTCTCGGGGTGGCATTCCTACAATGACCGCCGCGAAATCGAGGACCTTTTCTGGCCGGTCTTGAGGGCAAGGCTTTGCAATGCGTTAGAAGACGACATGCCGCTCATCCAAGGTGCCAACATGTCGGGCTTATTCTGTCGGCGTGGTTCCATCGCCGAGGGTAAATTTTTAAAAGGCCCGATGCACCTAGCCAAGTCATCTCTCGTGTATCTGGATGCATTCTGCACGACTGACATCGAAGAAGCACTTCTCGCTAGACGCGCCGAGCCGCTGAACCGCAAACACTTGGTGAATGATGTGCTCAGCCTGAAGAGCATTCGCAAGAGCATGTTCCTTCCTCGCCCATCTTTCCATGAGTAAGAACCAGGTGAGTCTCCCTGGCCGTTTGCGCGTGGCTCTGGCTACCTTTGAGTCTAGTCACGGTTGGTATGAAGCGAGAAGAAGTCCAATGTTGCCATTCTCTCCCATTGAACATGGCAGTGCCGTTGGTCCTGGGGATAAACTCACACATCGAATCTGGAATTTTTCCCCCAGAACGTTAAGTATGTGGCCGCTCCCCCCCCAATCCCGTCCGCATCGGCGGCGACTCTAAATTTTGCTCACTGTCTACGTCCTAAAATCCTCCTCTCGCCGTCGGTGGTCTTGATTTTTGTCACTCTCTACACGCTTTCATGTCCTAAACCCCGAGTCACGCAACAGGTGGTCTTGTCTCCTTTCACCCTCATTGGCCCTGCAATTTAGTTCAAATACTCGACCTGACTGTCCGACTCAGCATGAAGCGAAACAATCTCTATGAGTCTTGGTCTATTACCGGAAGTTATGGGCTATTAAAAACCAGGTTTGACGGTAACTGGTCAATGGCCGAGCGTATTCTCGTCGGACAAGACGGTATCTGTAATTCGTATATTCTTGGTAAATTATATGCCGCCCACCTTTCGTTGCCATCTGACTCTATAAAGCTAAAGGTGTAGATGAGGTGTTGGGAGTCCTGACGTTGTTGTCCATGTATCACGGTATAGTAGCCGCACATGCGCACCAACTAATAGTATATTAAATGACATCAAAAGCGACAAAATGGTTTAGCATCGATTATCCACCATGTTTCCCGAGTTTCCTCTATCCAATTCATGAGGCTTGATGGTCTCAGCCTGGTCACTTTATTCTGATAGCTGTCCGAGTGCGCATCTTAATCGATCACAGTTGGTGTAGATAATTCGGCTTCTGTAGTACGTCAACTGAGTCCTGTGATGTGACTGACAACCCCAACGCGACGTATCAAAGCAACTGTGACCTTTACGCCGTATGAGATGCACAACCCCAAACAGGTGTGGAGTGTGCTCTTCAAAATAACCACCAGGTACAAATGAGAGATGGGTAAACGTGGAAGCACTAACCGCTACCGCTGCTTTAGGCAATGATATTCTGTCCCGCGTCAATCTCACCACGATTAAACTCGCCTGAGACCTGTTCTAGATAAACAGTATGCCTACCAGCCAGCTAAACCTCAGGCTTGGTTTCTATAATGGACCCTTTACAACGTCTCATTCCTCGTGTTCGCAACCAGGTTGTCAGTGTAAAAGCGGCGTAGCTCCTGGAAACTACTTGGACAACGCGGGACGATTGCCTATTTCGAAATCATGAATCTCTTGAAGCAAAATAATATTAATACGTACTACAACAAAGAGACTCGGACAAAATACATGGTATAGAACAACGACTAGTACGTTTCCTATGACCGCGATGACACTTTTAAAGTCAGACTGGAGTTTGCCAACAACCTTGGCCTTGGCGGCTTTCCGATATGGTTCATTAACGAGGATTCGAGGAATTTATATGCTCTCAAGGCTGTCTTGGGCAGCAAGGGCATCGATATCATAGCACTAAAGCATACTAATCGTCGGGACCATGTTCCCATTTTGCCTTTGCCTCGCAAAATTCATGCATACTGCGGTTTATACCATCAAGAACGCGGTCAGGAAAGGCACAGCTCAGTTATATAATGCCCTGTTACAGAGACAGTTACGAGAGCCTGGACTTCACATCTCAGCATTTCACATGACACATCACAGCCAAGGCGAGGAAAATCACCAATTTAAAAACCACACCCAACGAGCTTCACGACACTGCCAATATGCAGCCAAATATGAGAACAAACCTCGGCTCGTAAAATTAAACGTTAAATGACTGGCTTGGGCGTGACATCAATCCAAGTGGAAAAGGTTTGGATATTGTTGGGGAAAGGCTAAAGCTCCCTTGGCAACGGCGCGTGAGGCAGGCCACGCTAGCATGATCACGTGAGGGTCCCTTGCAGCTGCCAAACACGGGTTCAGAGAGCTTGACACCTGCGAGCAGGCCAATGGGCAAGATCCACCCACGATAAAAGCTTCAGCCTTCCACCATGTACTCTGTCAACGGGTGCATTTGCAGTGATTGAAAGGCGCAACCCGCGTGAATTTTTCAATGGCATCACGTTCTCGATCCCCTTCGCGGGGCCGCCAGAGGTCCCTCACGCGCTCCGCGTCCCCGCGCTCCGACGATTCGCGCTCTCCCCGACGACGCCGCTACGACTCGCGCAGCCCGTCGCGATCCGTGACCCCGCCGCCTCGTCGCAACGGGCGATACCGAAGCGACAGTCAAGGCTGGGGCCGAGGCCGCGGAAGAGACGGCAGAGACGCCAGCGAGTCTCCATTGGCAAGAAGCACAAAGGTCGGCTCAGAAACGTGCCACTCGTCGGCGTGATGGAACCGGAATGCTGATCCTGCTTGCAGATTGTCGTGGAACGCTTGTCCAAGAATATCAATGAGGATCACCTCCACGAGATATTTGGCCAGTTTGGTCCCATAAAGGATCTTGATCTGCCCATGAACAGAACTTGTACGTCTCTCGTTTTTTCCCATCTCCAAGAACTTCCAGAACTTGCAACTAAACTTGCTCACATAGTTGGGACGAACCGAGGCACCGCATACATCTTGTTTGACCACGAAGCCGACGCAGAAGCCGCCATCTCACACATGCACGAAGCTCAAGTTGACGGCGCCACCATCAACGTGTCTATTGTGCTGCCGCGGCGAAAACTCTCGCCGCCGCCTCCAACAGCCCGCAGAGGCGCCAACATTGATCCTCGCATTCCCATGTCGGGCCCTCGAGGTGGCGCCGGTCCTCCCGGCCGTGGAGGAGGATTCAACGCCGGCGGCGGCCGTCGTCGCGGCTCTCCGTCCAGTCGGTATGGTCCCCGGTCGGACGTGTACAGACCCTCGTCACGCTCGCCGTCCAGATCTCCAGGAGCACCTCCGTCCCGCGGTGGCGGCGGCGGCGGCGGCGGCCGATACCGCAGCAGATCCAACGCTTCGTACTCATCTCGTTCTCGGTCAAGGTCACCCGGACCGAGACGACGAGGTGGTGGTGGTGGTGGGAGCGGCGCAGGCGCAGGCGGAGGCGGAGGGGGAGGGGGGGGAAGATTCGAAGACGACGATGACAGACGACGCAGCCGCAGCCGCAGTTATGACAGCTACGCGGGTCGAAGCCCGCGAGGCTACCGATGATGACTCGGGCAGCGTGTGCTTTTGGGCGTGGATGCAAATTTTTGTGAAATGGTCGCTGGCGTTCAGGTCCTCCTAGCTGGAGTCGATTCCCCAAGTTGGGGCGGCGTCTTGGTTGATCAGCCCGTGGATGTCCGAGTATATTGGCGATGGGAATGGCTTACTCAAGGATCACGGTCACGGTGTCATGTTGCAGCTTTGTTCTACGGAGCATCAGAAGTCTACAGTGGCCACGCTGCCTGCCTTGGCGGAACTATACGACAAGTCTAAACAGGGATAATAAATGCAATAATTTTCAAACGACCATGTTCGTGGCCAACATGTAGACTGTAATCATGGACCATACAGCCCATGACGTCGTACACATGCTGCAGAAGGAGAACCGACGCGCTGAAGCTATTCCTGGATGCTTCGTCTCCTGCAGCAGAAGCATCGCCCGCGCAGCTGTCGCTCCCATAGGCAAAGGTTCCCAAGCAGGGTGCTTCCACGCAGCAGGCTCAACATTGTGCCGACATTACCGGCCCTTACTTTCCAGCCTCATTCTTCCCAGCGCATAGGGCCCCTCTCCGTAGAGACGCGGCGGAAATAGTCCCTGTCGTTTCCTGTGCAGCTCGATGTCAACTTGCAACGGGGTGGCTCGGGATTCTTGCAGATATCCGTGACGAAGGGGCTTTTAAGAACTCCTGGCATTGAGTCGAGCCTGCGTTGCAAATAAGGCCATGCGCGTGTATGCTATCATTTGGGGGCGAGAGTGGACAGTTACATTGTCAGCGTTGGCTTCTTCGCTTGGTGCTTTCTTGCTTTGATACATTCTTCTCTTTTTATACATTAGTGAAGCGTGGTTTAAGCTGGTGCTACAACCTGGGTGCGTGGAAACATTGACAGAGAGACGGCAGCCTTACGTGCACTGACATGCGCGGCCGTTTATCCTCACGAGTACTAGTTGAGGAGGCGAGCAGCGTACACGTGTGTAGTTGAACAAGGTCTCTGGTGTGCCTAGGCCCTATACACTCTCTTCGTGTGCGTATCTGCAGCCTCGTGCCCCTTTTGACGACGGGATCCATTGCCACATACCCTACACCAACCAGCGTTAACATCCGTAAAGGAGAAAGGTCACGGCAACACCTCGCATCACACGCCATGTCCAACACGAAACCAATATATTCAACATACGCTCTACATCCACGCCACGCCAGCGCCTAAACCAACCATGCCAACAGCAGCGCCAACCACATGCGCGGTACACCTGGCCCCCCCTCCGCGAGAAGTGCTACTAAACAACGAACTGGTGGTCGTGGGCGTGGCCCCAGATGAATCAGCGCCGCCCGTCGCCGTCGCAGCAGTAGTAGTAGCCGGACAGTCGGCCGTACAGGGCAAATCACTGGTAAACACGCCGGACACGGTCGAGACAGCAAAGGCAGGCGCCTGCGTGGCGGCGCTGGGGTCCGGCGCGGCGCGCTCCGCATCCGGGTTCAAGACGTTGGCAATGATGTGCATGATGCCGTTGGCCAGCAAGATGTCCGGCTGGACGATGCGCGCCGCGTTGACAAACTTGCTGTTGCCCTCCTGGCGCACCAGCACGCGGGCAGGCTTCCCGGCGGCGTCGGTGGCGAGCGTGTCGTAGCCCGTGCCGTTGGCCAGTTGCGCCGACGACAGCACCCGGCCCGGGACGACATGGTAGTCCATGACGCGGGCGAGGCGGGAGGCGTTGAGGCCCCCGAGCGTGCCGCCGACGAGGCCGTACGCGTCGTCGAGCGGCGCAAAGATGGTCACGTCCCTGCGCACGGCGAGGGCGGGCATCAGGCGCGCGGCGTACAGCGAGCCCAGGAACGACCGGGCCCCGAAGGCGTCGGCGGTCCCGGCCAGCTGCGCCGGCGGCACGAGCAGGTTGTCGACGACCTGGACCAGGCCGCCGGCAAAGGGGATGTCGGCCTCGACCAGGCTGCTGCGGCTGCCGCCGCCGCTGGTGAAGACGACGTCGTCGCGCTGGCGGGTGACGAGCACGCCCTGGCCGGCGGTGACGTTGGTCAGCGCCGGGCTCGTCAGGCGGCTGGTCTCGAGGTACGTCGGCCCGTCGCGCAGGGCGGCCGCGGACACGGCGCCGTCGAGGACGTGGTACTGCAGGATGGCCGTCGTCTTGTCCTTGTCGTCGGCGTCCCAGAGCGGCTGGAGCGCCGTGTAGGCAATGTTGGCCATGGCCTTGTCTGACGGCGCGACAATCTGATGGCAAGCGTCAGCGCGGCCGTGGTGAATTCCGTCCCTCGCGGGAAACCCAATATGTCAAGTACACCAGACATCATCTTGGCACGGGGGGAGCGTCTCGCACGTACCGTCACTCCATTGTCACTCGGCAGCTCCAGCAAGACGTCTGGATATTTCTATACAAAAAGGTCAGCCGCCAGAGGCAGAGTTCCACGCCCGAACAGGTGCAGTCGGTACCTTGATCAATTCGTAAAACTTGGTGAGGTTCTTGTTGGCAGCCAGCACCGAGCCCAGATCCTTGCTGTCGTCTGCCACGGCGGCGGTAACCCACGCGGCCAGGCTCAGCGCCGCCTGCAACCACATTGTTGTCGTTGACGGGCAGCAAAAGGCACTAGGAGCTGTAATAAAAGGGGAAGAAGAGGAAGGCAATTTTTTTTTTTCGTTTGCTATACGGGGAAGGGATGCATCAATGTCCAAGATGCCCCGGGAGGAGTTTCACGTCGCCCGCGTGTGCAGACAAAGAGACGGACAAAGAGCACCAGACGACAAGCGACGTTATTGTTGGTGCCGCGACGTGACAGCTGGCCGGTGCGCGACGCCAGCTGGTCAAGTCTTGGTCTGGTACTACTAGCTTCCCGCCCGCGAAAACCACGTCGCGACATCATGGCGAGCGTCTGTCTGCGGCGTCTACTGCATCGGCCTGGCGTTTGCAAAAAAAGCTGCACATGTGAGGACGCAACACGAGGGGCGTGGCATCCTGTGCGTTGCCGGTTTCCCGGCGCTTAATCAGTGCATCACCCACCAGGCAGCCAGTCTTGGAAACGCGACGAAAGAGAAGAAAAAAAGGGCACTTGGGATAAAAGCACAGCCATCTGTCAAACCCCATTGTTGCATCTAGCTCCAGCCGGTCCTGTGCAGGGGACACAGGGGCCCGAGACCAGATTTCCAGAATACGAGGCGATCGGCGCGAAAACACGACCACAGCCGCCCGACGCCTTGTGAACCCGCCCAGTGACACTTGAGATGATTCTCACCTCCAAATGTCGTTTTTTTTTTTTTCGGGCGCCCGGCCGCACCGGACCTGTCACGGCAGTCCATTATTCACATTCCTCGGGGACGGGTGTAACGCCGGCCTTGGCACCCGCGTCGTACTTCACCTTTTCCGTGTGCCCGCAGCCTGCCGTGTACCAACATTCCCCGGCTCTCGTACGATGGCGATGCCACGCACGAACCGAAAAAAAATAAATAAATAAAAAATACACAACCTCTGGATTGCGCGCACGAAAAGACAAGGGGCGGCCGCATCCCCTGCCACGGGCGTGACCCAGCACATCTCCATTCCCACGATGAGTTGCCACGTTACGGGGCACAGAGTACACTAGGCCAAACTACCCTGCACCTTGCCAGGCATCCCACACTGTTTTGTTCTACGCGAGCCGTCATGCGGCGGACTAAAATACGGAGCAAGAGAACATGTAAAACAGTTTATACGAATACAGGCACGTCCTGGCCAGGTTCCCCTCGCGGTAGTTTGCTTGGGCGAAGAACCGCCCATCCTGCGATATCTACCGCGTCCGCGGCCGGGTACGCGCCTAGCAAACCGCATCGACGCTCTCAACGTGGGAAAAGGGTCCATGGCAGAATGTGGAAAATGCCGAGCGAACCCATGTCAAAACGTGCTGTGCGACGGTGCACCAACAGGAATATGCATCTTGCGTTTTGCAGCCGCAGCCTCAACAGTTTGACCAACGCAGGTGTGTGTGTGTGTGTGTGTGTACTCGACAGGGGAACAAGAGCAGAAACGAAGTAAGAAAATACGAGAATGTCTGCCTGCCGGCCCTGCTCCATGTCAGCCAACGCCCGGGATTCCCCTGCCCGAAGCCCGGGTGTGTATCGCAGGGCCGTGTTTCCACCCGCAGCCCGTCGGAGTTTATGCTCGCGTCATGTACATACTCATCTACGGAGTAGTTCCATACAATTCGGCACCCCGGACGCAGACATTCTCCCGGAACGCAAACACGCCCCGTTGGTTTTTGAAAGCAGAGCGACTACTAGTCTTTGCCAGCTGGTAAGAAGGGGGAACCGTCTCGGTGTATAGTGTAGCTGCGCTTGAACTGAGAGGCGGGCGGGTATACATCCGCGACACGATGCCTGTTTCCTTGGCTGCATTTTCTGACGGCGAACACCGTTGGGAGTGGGAACCGCCGTCTTTTCTGCTGCAGAATTTGGATCAGATCGGGCTGCATAATGGCCAGTCGCCATCTCTCGCTGGGTCGTCTGCCACTGGTGCATTTGACATGTCAGTTGTAGGGGCCCAAATGCCAGGTTTTCGACCTCACCCATCTCATCTACGATAGCAGGCTACAGAGTGGAGACTTGGGTATTCAGCGTGAGCCAACGGATGGAAATCTCCAAGGAATATTTGCGTCGGACCCCGTATCGCGGCCCCGGGCCTCCGGAGGCATGCCCCCGGCTCGGCAAAGACAACAAGATGCGGCTTTTTCCTGCATCTTGCGGCGCATAATAAAAGATAATGTTATATGTGACAGGAGCCACATGTCGATAGTAGTTGGCGATAGCGCGTTGTCAAGGCTGACTTGGGGCCGGCCAACTGGTCTTGCCAGCACGCCTTGCTCGTTTCGCCAGTCCTTCGTGTTCAATAAACTCTGAGTCGGCCCCAGAGCGCCAGCGATGCATCTCTGCCCCGGATCGTTACGCTTGCCTGTGTCCGGAACCGCTTGGATCGAAAAGGGTGAAGAATGACCGAGACAAGCTGGAGGGATAACCGACTTCAGAATTGCTGGCCACTCCGTAGATACCTAAGTCTTCAACAATAAAGCGCCGTCGCGCACATAGAGTAGTATTGGCCAACAATGCTGCGCGCTAGACTCGACCCATCATGTTGCCCTGCTGTCAAGGGGCGGTCAACTCTCTCTCGGTTGCAAATCAGCAGAGTCCAGGCGCTGCCAAGGTGGGAAGCGTCAATGCGTCTGACATTCTTGGTATTCGGGTCGGTGGACTCGCTCGTTTCGGCCCGTTGTTCTGTGAACCATCTCCTTGGGACAAAAAGGGCGTACATAGAGTCGGCGAGTTTAGCTTCCATGGCCAGGTGCCATTGCATTCCAGCTGCCATTGTTGGGGGGCATTGTTATCACGTGTTTTTTTCTCTCTCTTTCTTCTTTTCTCACTTGCACTTGACAAGATACTACTAACTAGTACTAGTGCGATACCACGCCAACACAATCCCGTTGTATTTGATTATAAAATTCACATCCATCAACATCATCAGCCTTTATACACGCAAGGGGATAGGCTTGGCACGCACGTTTGCTGTAGTCATACGCCAAATGGTAATGAGGCCGCTGACTCACATCAACACAGCGCACACATGCACGTGGTAGTGTGATTCCATGATACTGCAGCGCAATATCAGCAGTCACGTTAAACGAAGGAGCGCATAGTCGCAATATTGACCGAAGCTGAACAAACTGCGGCGTGGGCACGAATCGTCGCCTTGCTTGGCCCTGCATGGGCGATTGCTGGCTGGTTGATCTGTTGACCTGGGCGCGCACATAATATTGCAGGACACAGCAGGCCGTGGACACATGGATGACGGCCAAGAGCTCTGGTTGCATCGCTCGCATCTCCCGACATGTAACCACACGCTCGCAGCCCTGGCGCTGGCTCGTCGTCGACCCTGCTGTGCTCCCTGTCGTGCTTTGGGATGATGGCCACGGTGCATGCAGCTCGACTTCCCAAGTTCCAAGCACTTCAATGTTGCCTGCCTTCCTCGTTGAGTTCAGACACGACGGCGCCAGAACTAGCAAGGGGCGTGTCTCTAGACGGCCATGCAGGAACAGGGATCGGGTCGACGCCACAAGCACCTTAATCAGCCACAGTTGCTGCCGCTTTTGCGATGCTGTTTCTTCAGCTTCCGTGTTGCCCCACCCGAGAAGAACCCAAGCAAACTTTACTTTGAAGGGTACCCGTCCAGAACACAGGCATGACCAGTTGGCTACTGCGATATTTGGTTCTGTGCTGTTTGGCCGTCCTTGCGGTCTGTTCAAAAGTAAAAGGGCCACGATGGTACTCTGTACAAACAGTCAACTTGCCCGGAGCCAACAGTCTCAGATGCGATCGAGTCGGCTACCTAGCCTCGGGGTCGTTATAAGTAGCACGTAAGCAATGCATTTTACACATACTACTACTCCGTATCATGTTGTAGTGATATCATCTGTCCAATAGTCCCATACGTAGTGCACCGGCGGGAAAGCGGGAAATTACACCTGACGGTCAATTGCAGCCGGAAGTGCCGGGGTGATTGACTTGGCGGAAGACGGCTTCCGTAGCCTTTCAAGCTGGAGCCAATAGGCATGTACAATCAGAGTCAGTCATTGTACTCCGTATAATACCTTGAATCATATCAGGACACGAGAATAAACCCAGGCAGAACTCATCGATTTGATAATCACGTCTGTAATGCGGTGGGCGGACAGGGCTGAAGGTGGACTGACAATACGATGCCTAGTCCGTGTTGTGGGCGACGGGGGATGATGCTATTTGTAGAAGGAGCTCAAAATGACAGCCAGAAGATAAATATTGAAACATCAAAACACACAAGTTTTGCAAACTCTTGACCATCTGACGGCGCCATGGGGCCAGTGCACACGGCAACTTCGAACATTTGACGTCAGGAAATAGCAGTGTGGAGGCGGCCAATCAATGTCCGAGGGCACACGGAGGCGAGGCGAGGCTGTGGGTTGCCTGAGTGCAAGCCCCCAGCGCGGTGCCCATGTGCCATGGTCGTTCCTGCCATTTGCCGCCAACGGCCACGGATGGCGCCATGATCGCTCTTGCCAGCAGACGGACCGCTACTCCGTACTCCGTACAATACGGAGGTTTTCCAGGGGCAGCTGCACAAGTGGCTGGCGGCGCACGAGCTGGGCCCCTCCTCCTTCCTCGATATCCACCACGAGCTGCGCACCCCTTCCCCCTTCTTGGGCGAGCTGGCGAGCAAGGGTCTGGTCACTGGCTCAATGTTACCAGCCAGATGCAGCCGACTGAACCTGACACCCAGCTCTTGCGCAGTGCCCATCTGGTTGGTGGTGGGCCTCGCGCTGGCCGTTCAATGCTGTGAGTCTGTGACGGCCCCAATTGAAAAGTCTCAACTGTGCAAATGCTGCGACTGGACTCTTCGAGTGGCACCGCGTCCAGCCCACTGCTGCGAGATCGTAGCTGTCTGCTGCTTCTTCCATCAAGTCTCGCCCACACGTCGACCTGGGACTTTGAACTTTTGTCCGTAGACACTCTGCATCTGCTTCATTCTTGTAGCGATCCGAGTCGACAGACCGAGTCTCTGCAATTACACCAGAGCCCACGGCGTCACGGGGTCGCTCCGTAATCCCCAATTTCAAGAAACAGCGTCGGTTCCCAAGAGAAGTATTGGTGACGCTCTGTTTGCTCTCTTGGTGCGGGCAGCCGTCGAACTCGCAGGTCTTTGTTTCTTTCTTTTTTTTTTCTTTTAATTTTTTTCTTTCTGTCTTTTGTTTGTTGTAATATTTCCTCGGTGTTTCATCCTCCCATCCTTCACCTCGCGTCCCGGCGCTCTCACCACCATGGAGCAAGATCCGTATAGCCACGGCTACTATGGCCATCCAGTACCATCTGCTACAACAACCGTCAATCCTACGCCAATCCGATCCGGAACTCCAAACACAGAAAATAGCCGCACCCCATTTGGCGACAATGATACGGCATCCTTGAACCGCCCGGGAAGAGGCACGAATCCGTTTACCAGCCCCGATGCATCAAGGCCGGCATCCAGCTTTGGCTCCTCAAGCGCCATGGGGCCGCGATATGATGTCAATTCCCAGCTCTACTTCCACTCTAGGCGAGTAATGAAGGGCGACATCGAAAAGCCTTGGCTGGAGAAGAAGGATCCCAAGGAGAAGTGGGTGACTATACTGCCAATCATCGGCATCTTGATTGGCTTGGGTATTTCTGGGTTTTTGGTTTGGGACGGCATTCGCAACGTCGTGCACCACAAGTACTGCCCTGTTTTGGACGATAGTTTCGACGGCGGCTTCAATACCAACGTTTGGACCAAGGAAGCCCAAGTCGGCGGCTTTGGGTAAGGAGTCCTGGCTTCTTTGCCGTCCGTTCAATGAGGCGCAACTGCTAACACATGTCGCAGCAATGGCGAGTTCGAGCAGACCACTGCGGGCGACGAAAATGTCTTTATCCAAAACGGCAACCTAGTCATCAAGGCCACTCTCCAAGACGCTGAAAAGGTGGAAAAGGACAACGTCATCAACCTGCTCAAGGACGGAACCTGCACGTCTAAAGATTGGTACAGCTGCGTGGCTGCCACCAACACCACAACGGGCAACTCCAGCGTCGTCCCTCCAACCAAATCTGGCCGCATCAACACCATGAAAGGCGCCAAGCTCAAGTACGGCCGCGTGGAGGTTACGGCCAAGCTTCCTGAAGGCGACTGGCTTTGGCCCGCCATCTGGATGATGCCTGTCAAGGACACGTACGGCCCATGGCCTGCGTCCGGAGAGATCGACATCATGGAGTCTCGAGGCAACAACTGGACTTACGAGCAAGGCGGCAACAACATCATGTCGTCGGCCCTCCACTGGGGCCCGGATCCCGCCAATGATGCGTGGTGGAAGACCAACAACAAGCGCCAGGCCCTGCACACGACCTACAGCAGCGGGTTCAACACGTATGGCCTCGAATGGTCTCAGAAGTACCTCTTCACCTATGTCAACAGCCGTCTTCTCCAAGTCTTGTACACCAACTTTGACAAGCCCCTGTGGAATCGCGGAGGCTTCCCCGACGCCAACTCCAACGGCACACGGTTGAAGAACACGTGGAGCGAAACTGGTCGGGCGAACACGCCATTCGACCAAGAGTTTTATCTCATTATCAACCTGGCCGTCGGTGGTACCAACGGCTGGTTTGAGGATGGCAAGTCCGGCAAGCCGTGGCTTGACCGGTCACCCAGTGCGCGCAAGGACTTCTGGAACGCCAGGGACACTTGGCAGGCGACGTGGAAGCAGCCTCAGCTGGAAGTCAGTCGCGTCTTGATGATGCAGCAGTGTGACGGTGATGAGGAATTGTAACGTGTTTCTGTAAACCACCGGGGGTGATGACGGGCAATTTTGTTTTGGCTGGTCTTGCCACATGACATATGACTACATACATATTATACACGTCACTTATTTTTTTAGGAGCATTAGTAATATCATAGACTAGGGGAGAGCGGGATATGAAAACCTTGGAACATTTTGTATTTTGAATACTTGGAGAGGCCAATCATTATGGGCTATTGTTGATTTGTACTGAAGATGATACTTGTATACTTGATGCAAATAAATTTCTTTCTTTCTTTCTTCCTTTTTTTTTGTGGCTGAAGGATAGTTTGATAATGCTGGTCGTCGCAATTGGTCGGCACGGACTGCAGAACAGGGGTCGCTCAGCGAATAGCATACATACAGACGGCGGCGCTGGCCGACCATGACAAACGTCAAGCAGTTTGTTGCGCAGCTACATGGCCACGGCGAAGACGGTGACTGAGCAAACGCAACAATCTACACCCCAGTCTCGCCTCTGACCCCCTCTGAGCCCATTTCTCGCCCCGGTGGCCAGGCGGCTCAAAGACGACTACTGAGTGCCACGCATTTAAGCATCTGAATCAACATTGAATGGATCGAGTTGCTCACCGGCCGGTCCCACAACACGCCCCCCGCCCAGCCCGGCGCCATCACCGGCGCCTACTAAGTACTAGAGTCTCTGCGTTGTATGCACGTACATATGTACAAGGGGGTGGGATGCCCAGCCTGGCCCAACAGGACATTCTGGAACCTGCCGAGCCCGACATGGATGGGCGAGAGCTAAGAGAAGATTCAGCTCAGCCCTCTCACCTGTATGTATGTACGTATGTACGGAGTACGCAGCTGCGTCAATCTCACTTGCTTCGCGGCCCCTGGTTTGCCCGGCGTGATATTGAATAGTGCCACCGTTGAGGCTTGTGGTTGAATTTCCTGCCGTGGCTGCGGTGACGGGTCCCGTTGCGTCACGGGCGTGAACGTGATGGGCTCCTCCGTGGTGCTACCGAACAAAAGAGCTTTAAAGAGTTTGAAACCTTATTTCCTTTTTCGGTCTATGCTGTGCTATTCTGGCCTGCATGCTCCATGTATGTACATGTACGTAGGGGGACAAGACGAGATGGGACGAAGCAGAGAGACGAGATGAAGTGCAGGGACTGGCATTTGTCGGTGTCTGCGCGGCATCGAGAAGTGTAAATAGCCTTTTGGGTTCAAGGCCTTGTTTTTCGGCCTGGCTGGTGGCTAACGGAAGAGAAATGTTAAACATTGACCTAAACTTGACAACTGGGCATATGTTTCGTCGAGGCAAGGTATGGGCGGCATGAACGAGGGCGGTGGGTGTCGTCAGCCGGGCGGGCCTGGATATTGTTGCTTGTTTGCTTGTTGTGTATGAGATGGGACGATGTAAACTTCAGGCCCTGCTATCCTGGCAAAGATACGGAGTATGCTGCAATGGGAGCGGATGGAGCAAGGCCGTGACGTCGTCAAGTTCAGATGGACCGTGACAAGGGACGAAGCATAATCACTGACTGGTCCCTGTGATGACGGCATTTCAAATCTTTGCTCAACCTCGTGTTAGTCGTTAGCCTGGTCCAGAGACCCCATCTAGTAGACAGCACTTGTTAGTCTCTGATGAAAGATGCGCCCTTTTCCAGTGAAATGCTGCAACGTGGCTCATCGTTTGGGCGATACCATGGATGTGTGCATCATTCCGGGCCCGGCATCAATAATGCCAAGTAGTGTAAACTGGCAGCAATGTCATTGTGAAGTGCCAATGTCAGGTATCACGACATGCCGGCACCGTCTTGTCGTGGCTCTGATTCTGTGTTGCCCCAATTGAGTCGCCATGGTCTCTTCGATTTGGGACCCGGAATCTTCGCAGAGGCCCGGTACTACTACCAAGCACATGGTCTGGACATGGTGGTACTAGTACTTTGCTGACCACAGAAACACCAAGACGAAGCCAGGTTCGAGCCTCGTCCAGACCTGGTGTCAACTGACAAAAAGCATCTTGGCCGTGGCCACCATTCATCCCTGATACAATGCCAATTCACCGGCAATAACCCAACCCGATTTGGTAGATGTGTTTGCAAACGCAGTCAGTCAGTGCGCCCAGGACGGCTGGGAGCGAAATTACATCCAGGCCATCACCGTTCAATAAATCGCGGCTACCGCTTAGCAGCCTCGCGTTTTCGTCGTACCAAGCTCCCTACCCATATGCTAACCCTGGCTCTCAATATCCCGATCGTGTGTGTCGTGGTTGGACAAGACTGAATTAATCCCAGCAGCCCTAGCACAGCAGCAAATCGTCATCTCTGGCAGTTTGTGATATTCCAGATGGAGCCCTCCGACTCGTGTTACAAGAGCCGTTTTTTGACTGGCTTTACCGTGAGTGCTAATCCTGTCACAAGTACTAGCTCATTTTGTCGTCCGAGTTCAACGGCCTGGCTGAAAACTGCTTTTTCGTCACCAGTTTTGTAGCTATTGCAGGTCCGCGTGGTGTTAGACATCTGCTCTCCCCCCGTCGTTCTTGGCCAGTGGGTCATGATCTGTACACACAGGCGGGGAGAGCCCGTGCAAAAGGAACAACGGCGAACAGCCCACGGCGTTGGTGGCCGTGGCCGTGCTCATGGAGCAACAGCACCACTCGTTTCACAATCAAGCTAGTAATCAACCGTCATCAATGGGTGCTTGCGAAATCCTAGGCAATATAGAGTCAGCAGGACGACAAAAAGTCCAAAGAGTTCAGCTCCTCGTGCATCTTGTATCTCATGACGAGAGCCTTGGGGTGACAGTGCATATACCGACTGCCAAACACAATGGATGGGAATGTTGGCCTCGCCGTGGGCAGCCAGGTGAAGAAATTCGGGTACAGACACGCCCCCTCGGCCCCTCCCCACCGCCACAGAACACGCATTGTTGGCAAAGACAAGAGAAAGAACTGGCATCCAGCTTCAGGTTCAGGATGCAGGTTGTGCATTGGGGCGGCAGCTTGCAGGAATACGAGGCCAAAAATAGGCTG